CGTAATAAGCGCCCAGGGTGCTCTCAAAATTAGAAATAGTGGGCTCTTATTAGAATATTATTTTGGTGGAAAAAAAAGAGTTGAAAGGTAAATTTCGTGGTTTATGCTGACAGCCTGAAATGTTTATATATGAGAGATTTATTTTTCCAGAATTTAATTGCCCATAATTAAGGGTTCATATAACACACGAGTGCGTATTATACGCGAATAAATAAGTCTTGTGTACATTGATCAATCGGAAGGGGTGCTAATTGGGATTATATAAGCAAATATCGCCGTGGGCGCTTATTAGAGCGGGGCACTTATTACGTCGAATACGGTATGTATAAGGTTAAGTGAGTTGATTCTATAAAGGAACTCTCAGTTTAATTAGCCTTACTTCTGAGGAAGGGGATGGGCAGGGGCTGCTGGACCTGAGAAAACTGGGATCAGAGAATGGATTGGGCTTGTTTGTTTTATTAATTACCGTATTTTACATAATAAGTGCCCCGCTCTAATAAGCGCCCACAGCGATATTTGCTAATATATTGACTAGTGAACAATCCCAATTAGCACCCCTTTGGATTGATCAATGTACACAAGACTTATTTATTCGCGTATAATACACACTCTTGCGTTATATGCACCTTTAATTATAGGCAATTAAATTCTGGAAAAATATATATGTCGTATATAAACATTTCAGGCTGTCAGCAAAAACCACAAAATTTATCTTTCAACTCTGTTCCTTTTCACAAAAATAATATTCTAATAAGAGCCCCCTATTTCTAATTCTGAGAGCTCCCTTGGCGCTTATTACGTTGAATACGGTATGTGTTCTGGCAGAGTATATGGTCTCTGGTTCTGTGGTCTGTAAGAGAGACTTAGTGTTCTCTTGTGTACTGCTCATATGTTTCTAGAACTTCAGTAATAACTGCCTGAGTTACTTGTACAATTTTTATATAGTATGACAGCCACTGACAGATGGCTGACATTGTAAATCTTATGCAAGGATTGTATATCCTTCCTGTTACTGCTTTTCATGGTCCAGTGTGGGTATGGGGATTGTATTTATGTATTGTAGTAGTTGTATATATATCTGTTGCTAGGGATACCCGTAGCTGTACATATTAGAGCATTCTATTGTGTGGGATAACCATTGTTGTATATTTACAGCATTCTGTTGGTTGGGCTACTTATACCAGCATACATTCTGTTGCCATAGATACCCATAACTGTAAATACTAGATAGAATATTCTGTTGCTAGGGCTACCAATAGCTGTAAACATGGGAGCATTCTGTTGCTAGGCTTTCCCATTGCTGTAAATACTAGAGAGTTCTGTTGCTAGACTTACCAATTACTGAGCTGTAAATACTAGAGCGTTCTGTAGTTAGGGCTGCCCATAGCTGTATATGCTAGATCATTCTGTTGCAAGGGCTATCCAAATCTATAAACTTTACTGCATTCTGTTGCTATGGATACCCATATCTGTAAACGTTAAAACATTCTGTTGCTAGGGCTATCCAAATCTATAAACATTGCTACATTCTGTTGCTGTGGATACCCATATCTGTAAACGTTAAAACATTCTGTTGCTAGGACTATCCAAATCTATAAACATTAATGCATTCTGTTGCTATGGATACCAATTTCTGTAAACATTAAAACATACTGTTGCTAGGGCTATCCAAATCTATAAACATTAATGCATTCTGTTGCTATGGATACCCATATCTGTAAATGTTAAAACATTCTGTTGCTATGGCTATCCAAATCTATAAACATTAATGCATTCTGTTGCTATGGATACCCATATCTGTAAACGTTAAAACATTCTGCTGCTTGGGCTACCCATAACTTTACACATTAACACATTCTGTGGCTAGGGCTAACAGAAATAAGCAGGATATCACGGCCATTGATTTAGATATGGACTTCATAAGCTAACTTTGATAGTTGTTAACACCAACCCTGCACGTCACACTGATGATGCTTCAGAGACTGTTATGGATTTTGACCATCATGCATGTCAGCCCATAGTGATGAATGACTTACAGGTGGGTGTCATCCATTGACCTATAGTCCATCAACCATCATTTTGGTACTCGGTTTTTCACAATTATTTTCCATTAAACACACAGTCATGCAACTAAAGTTGGTTGTTATCAAATAATAACCACTGATCTAACTAAAAATACCTGTTTTGTAATATTTCATGTTGGAATAAAAATATTTTCTTTGATTGTTATCAGGTAATTTGTGACCATTCACATGTCCCTGCATTGGGGGTAAGAACAAAGGACCGGCTCCATTAAGGGAAGTAGAAAGAGATGCAAGAACAATGTTTGGGTTCTTTGAAGATAATCTTTGTAAACAGATCAAACCACAACGTTGGCTTTCATGTCTTTTCAGTTGAAATATGAATTTGAAAAATGCAGAACAAACTTAATAATGCCTTTAATTTGATGTCCTGTATTCTTTGATTGCAACCTTGACTTTTGGACCACCTCTTGGGTCTGGCAGATGGAGTGTCCGCCTGGAGAGAGGTAGGGTTGATTCCTGGTCGCGTTGAACCAAAAGACTTACAAGATGGTGTTCAGCATAATGGGGCTAAAACAAGGATTGGTTGGCTCGGAGTCAGTATACTGTGTCTGAGTGGGGTATTCATATTAAACTGTGGCTAGGGATAGCATACGTCTGGACTTGTACAAGTAGCCATGCTTCAATGGGTAAATTACCTTGAACGCTACATTAAACCAGTTTCACCTCACCTTGACTTTGACCTCTGTTTATGTATGAAATTGAATCATATTCTGATATTAACTACCGTAAATCCTTGAATAAATACCTGCTTGCTTTGAATTGGTTCTCAACAACCTTTACTGGTTATAAGAGGTGAGATAAGCTAGCTCGCTCGCTCACTCACTCACTCACTCACTCACTCACTCACTCACTCACTCACTCACTCACCCACCCACCCACCCACCCACCCACCCACCCACCCACTCACTCACTCACTCACTCACTCACTCACTCACTCACTCACTCACTCACTCACTCACTCACTCACTCACTCACTCACTCACTCACTCACTCACTCACTCACTCACTCACCCACCCACCCACTCACTCACTCACTCACTCGTACAGTGTAGGTGTATCGTTTACGTCCTTAAAAAGGGACCACCTAGTTTAGCAGGAACCTACTACTAACTGCCAAGTTCACTCTCACATTCTGGGGCGGTGGGTTAGCCTTGTGGTGAAAGCATTCACGCATCACACCGGAATATCACCTGTCATGATACTTCTTGAATATTGCTGATTGCGGAGTAGAGACTCACTCACTCACTCACTCACTCACTCACTCACTCACTCACTCACTCACTCACTCACTCACTCACTCACTCACTCACTCACTCACTCACTCTTAACCATGGTCCAGGAGATCTTGAGAATTATGTCATAAACACATTGTGTCAAGGCTGGGTCTAAAAACCAACACTGATATTACATCATCTCTTCTTTTTTTTGTAAGAATTCAAAAGTTACTTCAAAGATACTTTTCAAAGTGTAAGATGATGAAAAATGTGATCATTTGCTAATCAAATGTTCTTAGGTCTTCAAAAAACGATTTTCAGCTCATATGGATGTGATGTGATTGTGAGCTGGGCTGTAATTTGTAATTACTGAAAAGGCTGGCATTTTGGTAATTTCATTGTCCAGCAATCTTGCAAGCCTTGATGATAATCTAAAGATTGTTTCTATATGGAAGCGCTAAGCAACTAGCCCCTTGGGGCTTCTGGATTAGAATAGTCCCCAGCAATCTTTGCTGGTCATAGGAGTTGACTGAATGGTTCGAGTGGTCAGGCTTAGTGGGGAGGCCTTGTTGAATTGTGTCATTGAAGCGGATGGCATGGATCATTGCTCATAATATCAATTGCTGGATTGTCTAAACTTACTCAAGTATTTCCAGGCTGTGTCTCAGCTAACTGCCAGTCTCTGACATAAAAATATTTTCCAAAAGAGACAGTTGTCAAATTATAGTTATAAGATATAATGAAAAGGAGCCCAGAGACTTTCTTCACCTTCCTGATACTGCAGTAATGTAGACTTGCCAAACATTATAGAATTGCATGGGCTGTATTGGGTATATTTGTTTCAGGGTCTGTATGACATAAATATGATGTCATATCTGGAATATTGCTGTGTGCTTCAACAAATGAAATAAATAAATGAATTTGTATTAAATGTGGTTTGGTTGACCAGATTTTACATCAACGGGCCACACGCTAGAATACAGCTGTGTTAGTGTGGCAGTAAAAAAAAATTCAATTGAAAGGTTCTAAGATGGACTTTCAAACTGACCAGATTTAAAGGATGATGTCTTTTTGTTTAGGTAGGAGGACATCAGTTTCAGCTGTCAGTCACTTTTTGTAAATTTTGGCAAGACGCTTATATTGATTTGCATGATCTGCCATCCTGAGGTTAATGAAAGTGAACCATAAGATTGGACAGTGTTTTTATAATGAGGTTGAATTCCAGTTTGAGTGTTCTTAAAAATACAGGTTAAACTGCAAGGTTGATGAGACAGCCTTAACTGGCACATGGCGACATATTCTGATAATTTTTTAAAGAGTACAAGCAAACCTGAAATTAAACAGCAATGGTGGTCAAGCAAGAAAATACAAGTGGCTAATTCTTATCCAATCAGATTTCAAATACGATTTCTCAAATGTTCAAATATCCTAACAAACCTATTGATGTGTTTGATTTGTGACTCTTCACGGTGTTTCTATTTCTCTCAAGCTCTGAAGTACCAGTACAATAAAAAGAGAGTGTCTTTTTATTTACATGTTAGAAAATATGGCCACTTGCAAGTACCAGATTATCTCTTGTAAAGAAAACCTAATAAACACATCCCAAACGTGAGATTTACAGCTCTCCCCCGAAGCACTAATAATGGACAGGAAATTAAAATGTGCAAAAAAATATTTCATAATTTCACTCTTGACATTTCAGGATTCTAACGAGGACAGCGTCTCTCAATCAAGTTCACATGTGGACGCAAATCCTACGGCACCGTCACAAGTCGCCAAGCCAAGTCCGCAAAAACGCAAAAATCGTAAATCCCGACAAGAATGGGAGATTATTGAGGGGTTGAGAGATGGACAAAAATGTGCTGACAAGCCAGAGAGGCACTCCAATTTCTTGATGAAGAGACGCAAGTGGCCGATGAAGGGCTGGCACAAGGTAGGGAATTTACAGAAGAGTGGTGAAGATCCTTAAGGATTTAGACCACTAAAACCAGTGCTAATATTTATAATCAGGTCAGTGGTAAGATGTTAAACCAGTTTTAGTGCTGATCACAGAAACTAAATCAGTGCTAAAATGTAGAACCAGTTTACATGATGAAATGTAAAACCATTCAAGGTAATTTTATGTGAAACCACTTTAGATTTTAATATGAAAGACTGATTTAGGTGGTAAAGTCTAAAAACCAGTAGAGGTTCAGAAATAGTAGAACCAGTTTAGGTTCTAAAATAGTGGAACGAGATTAGGTTCTAAAATAGTGGAACCAGTTTAGGTTCTGAAATAGTGGAACCAGTTTAGGTTCTGAAATAGTGGAACCAGTTTAGGTTCTGAAATGTAAAACCAGTTGAGGTGATGAAATAGTGAAACCAGTTTAGATTCTGAAATAGTGGAACAGTTTAGGTTCTGAAATAGTGGAACAGTTTAGGTTCTGAAATAGTGGAACAGTTTAGGTTCTGAAATAGTGGAACAGTTTAGGTTCTGAAATAGTGGAACCAGTTTAGATTCTGAAATAGTGGAACCAGTTTAGGTTCTGAAATAGTGGAACCAGTTTAGGTTCTGAAATGTAAAACCAGTTCAGGTTCTGAAATAGTGAAACCAGTTTAGGTTCTGAAATGTAAAACCAGTTTAGGTTCTAAAATAGTGGAACCAGTTTAGGTTCTGAAATAGTGAAACCAGTTTAGGTTCTGAAATGTAAAACAAGTTGAGGTGATGAAATTGTAAAATGAATTAAAATGTAGAATCAATTTTAGAAAAAGGTTTGGGCATGAAAATGTATTTGAACAGTGATAGTCAGCATCATCAATTATTCATAGAACGACAATGTGAAAACCAATGCTGATATGTAAAACCAGTTTTGTGCTAATTTGTGGAACCAGTTATATTTAATTAAATGTGAAACCAGTCTCAGTGTAAAACCTGTCCGGAAAAATAATTGACGTTATCATGATGTATTATTCATGAAAAGACACCTGCTGATGTGGAGTCACTTGCTGCCTCAGGGCAGTTTCACAAACAACAAGAACAAAACGTAGTTCATGAATTAACTAGTCTGCTTGAAGCAATATTTGTATTTCGCTGTGAGATGTTTGAATAACTGAAGTCAACTCTCATTATCATTACTCTTGTGTTAATAGTGCAGCTTGTATCACTCCAAGAATAAGTCAATATTGTGGGAGTCAAAACTTGATGGAGAGGGGATTAATAATTCATGATACGTCGGCAGTGTTTATTGCATGAAATGGCAGCATCTACAGCCTTGGTGATGAGTTAAACAGTCCGTTTGATATACCGTTATCAACATATTTAGCGCCCTCTCTCCTAGTAACTGCCCTCCACTCTCTCCTCACGGTGACCTGCTACTGTGACGTTACTTATCAGTGAGGGAGTTAAAATTCGATCGGGTAGCCTAGTGGTTAAAGTGTTCGCTCGTCACGTCGAAGACCCGGGTTCGATTCCCGACATGGGTACAATGTGTGAAGCCCATTTCTGGTGTCCCCCCATATTGCTGGAATATTGCTAAAAGCGGCGTAAAACCATACTCACTTACTTAAGATTTGACATCACATCGGCAATACTTTAGCCATATCGTGACGATATGCCTATCAAGTTTATATGACTTTGTTGAGTTGAGTGTATACACAAAATCTTGCATTGTTTGAATGACTTCTTTTTATAAACATGCAATGACCAATGGTATCAGGTGGTCAGACTAGGTGACTTGGGTGATTGTGGGGCATCGTACTGAGTATTGAGTATTGATGATTAACAGACCACTATTTTATAAAGTAGACCCAACTTATGGTTAACCATGTCTTCATTTCACTGTAATGGTGATGTTTTGGTACAGATTTTTTTAGCCAGTTTATCGCTGGAATATTGCAGAGTGTGGCATTAAACAACACACCGTGAAGGATGGGGTGTGATTTGGAGAGTGAGAGGTAGCCCAGTCGTCTAAGGCACCGGGATTCGCTGTGCAGAGTTACGTCCCTTGGGCATGCCAGAAACCTATGATTGTGGGTTCGAATCCCGGTTCGCCCTGATTATGTTTCTAGGCTTGTCAGTACCATACCCATGCTTGTGGGTTTCACCGAAGTGGTAAACGTCTGAGACCTGTATTGGGCTTTCCTCCGACATTAAGCTGACACGCCGTTATAAAACTCAGGGATGTGAAATCTCTGCGGAAACACGGAAAATCACGTTTTTTTAAAAATCATCTTCCGCGTAAAATTATAATCAAAGATTCTTTTACAAATTCTCCAAAAAATATTATCGTGTTTCCGGACAACCGTCGCGGAATATCCTGTTTTCGATCAGAGCTTTCAACATCATGCCTTTACTATTATTCATGACACATACGTTTTCTATCAAGCACACTTGCACTATAACGTGGGGTGTGGCGTCACACAGATAATTGTAAAATTCTGGGGGGGCATCTTCTCTTTTGGGCAAAACCTGCTCACATCCCTGATAACTGGAATACTGTTAAAAGCTGCGTTAAACCCAACTCACTCACTCACTCACTCACTGTAACCTCTTTAAGCATTCTTAGTCCAGTGCAACAATATTGTTATTTTTTGATACAAAAACTTGTCATGTGATAATTGGTGTATGGGTCCTGAGTACTTGAAGAAATTCAAGTGTCCAGTATAACAGGGTGGCCATTATGGAGGTTTCAATGTAATCATCTCACATTTTGGATATTTCTTGATTACAGAAGTGAGAATTGTTATCACTTTATCAGGGTGCCATTAATATTTTTATTTTTTTATTTGATTTCAGAGGTTCTTTGTTTTGGAGAAAGGAATACTTACCTACGCCAAATCCCCCTACGATGTAAGTATTGATGGATGTTGTAACAGTCACCCTCGGATGCAAACAATCAAGACCTTCGGTTTGGGCCCATGTTCCCAAAATTCTTGATTTTTTATGGATGTTCAAGATATGATTATTTTTTATTACATCCACGTTTTGTGTGTAAAAACTATGTATAATGTAGTTACAAGATCAGCTAAGTGAATCATCGTAGTTTTTCACAGTTGTACTTAGCTTCAGTGATTGGCTGAAATAGTTCCGCAATCTACTGGCGCTACGTCATCAAAAGTTGTGTAGTTTGTTCTGAGATTGTTTTATGCTTAAAATCCACTAAAGTAACAATATTTATTCCAAAATACTTACGTAAACACCTTCCTGGACATGTTATTGGGTAGATTACATCCGTCTAGATTACTGTCACGTCTTATATTTGGTGTCTTATCGCATTCTTCTCGTTCTAACTTTTGGTGTCTTCTGCTTCTTGGATTAAATTAATATTAAATCTTTTAAAACTGATTACAGTTTAATTAGCACTCGTCTTGCAGTTAGCTCATTTATATGTTGCAAATATAACTTTCATTAATGACAACAATAAGTAAACTTTTCCATTGACTTTTATTATTGGTAGAGTTTTCTAAATTCAAATCCGTCGTTTACAATATCTCTTTGAAACTGAGGGTTGGGATGGGACATCAAACAGCCTGACAATCATGTCCCCCACCTCCAGCCCATCATTGGGATGGGACATCAAACAGCCTGACAATCATGTCCCCCACCTCCAGCCCATCATTGGGATGGGACATCAAACAGCCTGACAATCACGTCCCCCACCTCCAGCCCATCATTGGGATGGGACATCAAACAGCCTGACAATCATGTCCCCCACCTCCAGCCCATCACAATGTACTTTGTCCAGTTGAAATAACTATCAAGAGAATTGCAATTGACCAGGATTGCCAACACCAGCTGTCTGTAGGTAGTCTATTATACATGGCATTGATCCCATTCCCACTGGTCCACAAGATCAAAGTAAGTGCTGACCTGTGATCTTGGTTCATTACATCAGTCACTGGTTTTCTGGTCCAGACTATTATTTACAGGCTGATGTCATATTACTGTGTTAAACAACAAACAAACATTCTTACCCTTCTCATGTAGGGCCAGTGGGGTAGCCAAGTGGTTAAGGTGTTAGCTTTTCACACAGAAGGCCCTGGTTTGATTCCCCATTTTGGTAGAATGTATGTGGCCTTGGGCTGGGAAAAATCCAAATTTACTACCCGATACCTACACCCTTTTACCCAGCCCTCCCTAGGCACTGGCTATAGGCCTCAAGAGTTGGGTACAAAATGTCCGAATAGGAATTGTTTTACCACAGCCCTGGCAACAACTGTTTAGATACACATGTTAAATTATCTGATCATGCACACACAGAATTTAATAGACGCTTTATCCTTACTCGAACATATAAAAGTCAGAAAGATATGTGAACATTTACTATACTTGTTGTGAACCGTAACTATGGAGTTTCATTGTTAATGTCATTAAACAGTATATGACATGACTAACATTGTGTCTGGGTAGTCCTGTGGGTACCATGATCCTACTCAGGACCCATCGGACCCGAGTACCCGCGTTACCTCTCCCAGCCCTAATGTGACCCATTCCAAAGCTGTGTACATTCGGACTCATTCCTTCCAAGAGAGACATGGTAACCCGTCACCTGAGATTGTTAGATAATGGGACACTTATCATGCCTAAAATAGACTTGTAATTCCTGTGTGTTAAATCGTGTCTCTTACTGCAGTCCATTCAAGAACCATGCGTATGTAATAACAGGTAATAACCATTACTTGTATCGTCAGTACATTTAAACTGTCGTCAATCTATCATTTGATCAATTACTGAGTTGCAGAGCCAGGGCAGATACTACTGCTTACAACATACTACATTTGGTTTTCATAAGAGTGGGGATTCTGACCCCCCTTGACACCCCCCCCCCCCCCGGAATTCCGTGGCTCAATCGTTGTGCCATCATTGGTTAGCTAGTACAAGATATGTCCCTTCTATGTTCCTCGAAGTGACCAAAAAGAATTTCACTGCTGATATCACTTGCATTTGCTTCAAACAAGATGGCTGTGTTCACTCAATATGATCTGATCAATAATCAAGATCTCTATTGTAATAAACAGGTTTTACTTCGCAAAGTGCATAAAATCATGTGAGCACCTTGAGTGAAAAAATGACAAGATTTGCAAAATATTTGTTGACGCTAAGTTGACGGTACACATGCTTTGCGATTCTTGCAATCGACCGATATCTGCATGGCAGTTTGTTTGCAAACCGGATGTTGATTTCATTACACGATTTTGTTTGCACTATGCATAGACTCGTTAGCCCAGCCAAAAAATAGCTCCATAATTACTGCCTAGTTCGGCAAGGACTTGTATTGTCAGTTAATTCCCTTTCCTCAGGAAGATGAGTGGCCCAAAAATGGCCATTATTCTACATTGTACTTTCATTGGGAACTGACAGCATTTGAAATATATCAATTTCCTGGTCATGTTCTGTGTGTATTGCTGTGTGCAGTCCTCTCAGAAGTTCTATGTCCTGGACTTGGGACTGATTCTGAATCAAGGAAGTTGAAGATTTAAAATGATTGAATTTTTTACTACAAATTTGCAGTGAGTTATTTATAAGGCCCTTGATTTTATTTGTAACACATCCTGGATGAGCTCAAGTGTCATCACTCCTGTTTAATTGTGTTACATTCCTTGGGTATAGACCGAGTAATAACATTTCAGTGCCATTTAATCCATGGTGCTCTCACAAATCTCATCATTAACAGCCAAAATACTCTACAAGCACAGGAAACACAGTAATGACAACTGAGAATGGGAATTTTATATCTTGATCTGATTAAGGCCCAACTTTCAATTTCTGCCTCATGATAGTAAACTTTAGCTGACGATGTAATATGATGGCAACAACAGAAAGAACGACATTGTTAGCTCACCTTAAAGAAAGTCAAGTGAGATCGGGGCCTGCGTATCGGATTCAAAAGCGTCATTGTCATCTTCCCAAGGACAGCAAGTTAACTGACTTTAAGGTCCAGTTTCCACCCTTGCCGAACTAGGTTGGAATTATGGAGTTATATTTTGGCTGGACTAACGCTGGACCAATCAAAATTGAGTAACAAAATCAACATCAGGCTCATAAACTGCTGTGCAGATTTTGGCCGATTGCAGGATTTGCAAAGCATGTTTACTGCCACCTTGGCGTGAACAGATATTTTCCAAATCTTTTCATGTTTTAATCAAAGTGCTCACGTGATTTGATGCACTTTGCAAAGTATGACCCATTTTATCACAATATAGATTTTGATTATCAATTAGATTGTCTTGATTGGGTGTCGCCATTTTGTTTAAAGCAAATGCAAGTGATATGAGAGGTGGAATCTGATTGGTCAGTAGGAAGGACATAGAAGAGACATAATTCGTAGTAGTCACTAGTGGCGCTATAATCAAGCCCAGAAATTTCAGCCTAGTTTTGCAAGGGTGGAAACTGGACTTTTACTGTCAGTTAACTCCCTTGCCTCGGGAAGATGCATCCTTGTAGTCAGAGTGGGTGCAAACATTTCCTCAACAACCACTGGACCATTGAGCCTGGAACTTCACATGCCTGTTCCCAATGATGACACCTCAATTTCTTAATGGAGTGAAATTTATCATATGTGTAAATAGTAGTGGCAGGCATTTATCTGGGATTCCAAACTAAGAGCCTTGGCAGGCAAAATGGGGTCAATAGGTAGTTCTGATCAAAATTTTGGATTTTCTTACTAGTTTTTTTCCGGGTGGTCAGGCTCGCTGACTTGGTTGATGCATGTCATCATATCCAAATTACATGGATTAATACTCATGAAGTCAATCACTGGTTTGTTTGGTCCAGACTCGATTTTTTACAGACCGCCATCATATAGCTGGAATATTGCTGTGTGTGGCGTTAAACAAAAAAACAAAAAAACATTTTAGTTTATGTTTTGGATACGTTCTTACATTCTCTCAAAATTCAATGTATGTTCTTCTTTTGCTCACATCATATTTTATCATCCCAAACTGGCCTTCATAGGAGATATCACGCGTAAGATCAAGCGATATCTCCCAGGAGATACCTCTGAAATTGCATAGCATTACTTTGCAGACCAGTATGATGGCATTGGTTACCATGACATCACAATCAAATGACATCACTAAACCACGGAATTTACAATCTTTCAACTCTGTTGTTTTTCACCAAAATAATATTCTAATAAGAGGCCCCTATTTCTAATTTTGAGAGCGCCCTGGGCGCATATTATGTCGAATAAGGTATTTGACATCAAAAGACATTCAGGTGAGATTTTTTATTTGTTCAAATCTATAGAAAGTTATGTCCGTTTTTAGATCTCAGTATTTATCAGTAAAGTTTTTACTTGACATTGTGAACTGTTTTCTTCATATCCAGGTGAGCTACAGTGACATATTTTTTTTCATAGATCCTGATGCTCCTGTCTTAGAGTTCAAGTTACACATAATAAATTTCTTAATCTTCCCCGAAAGTAATGTCTGCTTCATATTCTCTGATTACTTATTGATTTTCAAGATGGATTGGAATATAATTCCTTGTAACCTCCAAGATTGTAGGACAATCTGCCTCAGCTGGTCTTATTGAAGCCGATGACCCCTATCGAGTGTGACTAGTGGAACGGATTACCAATATACACCATTGATTGACCAAGTCCTGTATAATTAAGTTGTTATTGTGGCGGTCAAGTGATTGACAATTACACTGATAGGCAACAGGCGTTTAGGTGGTAGAGATGATTAAGAGATAATCTTTTGGTGATTGAAGCATATTGGTAGACCAGGGCCCACTTGCACAAAGCGATCTTAGCGCGAAGATGATCGTAACACCCATAATTTAACATAGGCTTACAATAATTTTAGCACTAAGATGGCTTTGTGCAAGTTGGCCCTGGAATAAGTAATTCGGGTACTTGGGTCAGGTGGGTACTGAGTGGGACCCGCACCGGTGATTAGACACGTGATGTATTGTTTAATGACACAAATATTTAGAACTCTATGGTTACACTACAAGTCATTCATGTTCACGTTTCTTTCTGACTATGCACCATTCCTTCTGACTTTTATATGTTTAAATAAAACTAAAACTACACTCAACTTCAGTGTATGCACGACCAGATTGTTTTATATGTGTATCTAAATGCTATTTGCCAGGTCTACTGTCCAACTATTCCCAATCGGACATTTTGTACCTGTATCTTGAGACCTACAGCAGGTACCTGGGTAGGGTCGGGTAAGTGAGTGGGTACCCGGGTAGAAAATTTGGACCCAGCCCTACATATTAGGGCAGGATGATGAGTTGTGATTAGATAATTGGTGGAAGGTGTTCACACTTTAATATGTATCTTTATATGTTGTTAATAAGGATTCTGCACTTAATTTTCTTTGCATGTTGCTCATGTAAGTGTTTTTTATACTCATGAGGTTTTGTGCTAATATTTCTCAAATTAAATTTTAATATCCCTACCTGGAGGATATAGAATAGAAATGTTCAACATATATAGTTTCAGAATGGCTTGTACTTATCGACTGCCCGGGAGGAGGAGAATCTTCAGAAATCTAGCTTAAAATCTGGGGCAGGGATGTCCAATATGGCGTTTAAATTTTATTCCAGTCCTCGGAAACAAACACAGTTTGTTTGCATTATGGATGAATTATACATTGTCAGAAGGAAAGTCTGTTATTAATATGAGGCAAGCCTGAGGGATGACCCTTTCCAACATTGTGTTCCTAGGTTCAGAAAGGCAAATACCATGGTGTGATAGACATCGGTCTGGCTGTATTGACCTACAAGCGGCCAGGCCACAGGATCGACATTGACGCAGAGGAACAGATCTACCACATTAAGGTATGCTGGAAAGTTAGGCAATGGTTTACATGCTGCAACCAGTTACCTCACTTGTTTTTTGACTATAGTGTCTGTAGAGTCCTGTCATTCACAGCTAATACCTACCTTTTCAAGCAGTACTATTGTCTAAATCCAAGACCCCTTGGCCCCAGCAACGACTTTTAGTCATGCTGAAGCTTCAATGTATATAGCACCATGAGCATTAACTTTGGGAATGGAATCTGGCACATTACAAATGGAATTATTATTATCAATATTATTGTTGTTGTAGTGAATGATCTATATCATTGATAGATTGTGAAAAAGATAGCTTGTAATTTGAATGAGGACGGTGCAGGATTGATCATGTGTTACAAAAACTCCCTTTTGAGTTGTGATTTCTGCAAAGTTAGTTGATTGTATATTGTTCTTCTTGACAATGTTACATCAGGTGAAAGACAACAAATTGTTTGAAGAATGGCTGGCCAAATTCAGACACCATCGTCTTTACCGACAACACGAAATATCCTATGGGACAAAAGAGTCACCACGGCTGACAGAGATTACCTCCCCTACAGAAGAGTTGCCTCCCTTGACAAGTGGGTGTCTTTAACAATAAATACCCATTAGACCAGAATTTACAGAATTTGACCCATAATTCTGAAAGTGTATTTTCGGTCTCTTAGTTATTCAAATATACCTAACAATTCAACAAATATAATTTTCTTTGACTGAGAGCAAAACATAATGCTGTAGCCATATCATCAACAAAGATAACATGTGTCAAGGATCACATAATTCTGGTGTGAGGTATGTAGGTATGAGAGGTTTGTTTTTGTCTGTAAATGTTTGTTTTGATTTGTAGCAGCAAACTTACCTGAGAAGACACTGACCTTGAACTTGAAGAAAGATGTTATTCGTCAGACAAGTTTCAACAAAGGGTTGGCAGGGACGGGTCAGGGTCGGGTCGCGGCCTGGGTGCTGGACACAGCAGGTTTTGAACAATGCAATAAAGGTGAGTACTCAAGTATGTTTCAGAAATCAAAATAAGGTCACAGTTGGCCCAGTTGTCTAACAACCTGCAAGTAGCTGTGCAATGTGGGTTTTAAGCCTAGATTCCACATGATGATGTTTCATAGGTTTGTCAGTACCTGTGGAAAATGTTTGAGACCTGTATCATTTTGGGCTATCTTCCCACATCAAGCAGTCTTGTTGTGATATGACCGAAGTACTGTTCGATGCAGTGCCAAGCCCAATTCATTCAGAAACAAAAATAAACCTCTTCAAACATATATTAAAACTAATTTTGCACTAGATTAATGAATATTGCCAGTGTCATGTTTTTGACAGATATTTAAATTCTCATATCAAGTTAGCTAAGAAGAATTCTTCATCGGCTTATGTTAACTTCAGCTTCATATGTGTCCAAAGGGAGGTAACTCCTCAACAATTTTCTTTTAAATAATGCATTCAGATCTATTTTAAGTGATTCAGTCATGCACTCTTTGAAAGTTTGTTTCTTGACATTTCTGTCTAATGTGAGTGACTGAATGAGTGAGTTGGACTTAAACAGTATTCCAGTTATATCATGGCATGTCAGCTTAATGTGGGAGGAAAACCAGAAGTGATGCAGGTCTCAGACATTTACCACTTTGAAACATAATTGGGGTGAACCAGGATTCGAACCCACGATCATAGGTTTCTGGGGTGCCCAAGGGACGCAACCCTGCACTGCAAATTGCGGCGCCTTAGACGCCTGAGCCACTCATGCCCCTGACAGATATGTGGCACAGGTTGGTTGGTCATGTGTGGCACATGTAAAGCTCTTTGTATGGAAAAGAAAATTTACTGTAATACAAACAAGCATATTTCATCAATAATTTTTTCTTCTTTTATGTTTTTTTTTGTCAATTTACCAAGATGCAGTTAGTAAGAAAAAGAAAAACAATATTTATCCTGCCATCAATTAGATGCTTTCATTGCATGAAAGAAGTCTTAAAATTATTACAGGAAGATATTTTCAATCAAACTAATATATTTGGTAATTTTGCCCAATTTAGAGAAGGCTTTTGTATAAGGTTATTGAGCCTGTTTCTATTTAATGTCATTCTGTTTGACCATTCAGGTCTGACCGATGCCCAGAAAGATCTATTTGATCTCCAGGAGCTACTGGATCAGATACAGAATCTACCACTGTCCTCCGACCCAGCCATTGACGTAGGTTCTTGTTAATGTCACAGTGTTGATATCATTCATGTGTATTTTTTTCAACGTCAGAGTGTTGATTTCCTCACATGTGTTTCCCTTAAATTGTGCTTGTGTGAGCTGTGTATTTCATATGTTGTGAATTGCAGAGAACCCCTCTAATACCTTCACCTGAGTGGAAGGGTACTGGCACTTTTTGTGTGTGGTCCTCTTCACAGTGTCTGCCTGATTACTTTATTAATTAGTCTCATGTTGTGATTGTTTGAAGTAATTAATGGAAGCATTATGCTTCTTAACTGTGTATTTTTATAGTTCTGTTCTGGATGTGAAAATAATTATGTGTCGAATGAAAGTGAATTTATATATTAAATTCTTTTGTGTGATGGTAAATGAATTACTAAGGCAGTATCAGGGAGTGTGAGTGAGTGAGTATGGTTTTACTCCGCTTTTAGCAATATTCCAGCAATATCATGGCGGAGGACACCAGAAATTTGCTCCATACATTTTACCCATGTGGGGAATCGAACACGGGCCTTTGGTGTGGTGAGTGAATGCTTTAACCACTAGGCTACTCCCTCGCCCAGGTTTCAAGGTATTTTGAAAGGAGGTCCAGCATAAGAATTTGAAAGGTATATTTTTTAGGGGAATGATATTATTTGACATCTGAATTGAAAAATACCAAAAATATTGTTGGGTGAGGTGTTTGGGCTGCCATTAACTCGCGGAGATGTTGTCATTATCATATTTGTCTGAATAATGTATGGGATTAATGTATGGACCATTCCCATTATTCCTACTGCAGACACAATTTATAGTAAAATAAATTGTTGTTTTTTTGCGATCTTTTACAATCATACAAAATGAAAAAAAGGCTGTCTTTGAATCAACACAATCTGGTGCCTTTTAATGTAGAAAAGGTGCCATATTGATATTATTGATGTTCAAAATGTCAGTATTTAACTCAAGCATGGAAATATTATGCTAAACTTAGAAATAATATTGTTTCCTTTTCTCTACATTGAAATGTTGTTCTGGTTATCTGAAACAACACTGTTGTTGAGTATCAGTGTTGTATATTTGTTGTTCACTATGCAAACACGTACACCACCACGCTCTGTTTCTGTCACTCTATTCTGTCACAAACCATTTGTAGAACAAACAAACTTGTTTAGTATTAAAAACATATGTTGACTAGATTGAGTGAAAATTAGATTGTTGAGTTGAGGATTTTTTATAATTTAAAATAGTTGAAATAGATTTGACATAAGAACCAATATCCTGATAATTTGAATAGTGATTTCTTTGCCTTGTAGAGAGTTCTGTAGTGTAGCTGCGTGCATGATCCCAAACTATTAACATTTTTTGCATGGAGGTTATTGAGTGTTAGAGGTTTATAAAGCATGAAAATATGAGTTGGCTTTCATGTAGTTTATATAGCAAGCTTATGTGAAAGTTGTTTTTATGAATTATTAATGCATGAGACTCTTGGATTAAGATTGTATTTGTGTGATCGCATTGGTACAGTGTTTGACAGTTAACTGACATTGTTATTTTGCTCCCGAGGTTTTCAATACAAATTTGAGTGTTGTGTATGGCCTTGTGTATTAGAAATAATATGGTTTGGGTTGATAGTCAGTTGCTGGGTGGATCAATGATGTTAGGTATTACAACTCGATGTACAGAGTTGTGTTTCTTGCTGTGTCAGGATTCGCTGGTCATTGTTTCAATCCGAGATATCCATTGTTATGTGAGCATAAACCCTTGCTTGTGGGTTATATAGGAGCTGTAAGCCTGCATCCTGTCACAATGACCTAGCCTGGTGTGATGTCACTGAAGTACATTTTGAATCAGAGTTGAACTTGACTCACAGAAAGAAATCTGGGATTAGGAAAAAGCACATTGTCTTCTGAAACAAAATTCAATCATCATGACTTAGTACAACCTGAACTATAAAACTGAAACACTCCCAAAATTGATGAACCAACAGGAAACATTTTGATTTCAGTACAAAATCAGCTTCGTATATGAAAATCATCTTCCTGAGGCAAGGGAAGATTTCCACCCTTGCCGAACTATGCAGGAATTATGGAGTTATATTTTAACTGAACTAACAAGTCAATGCATAGTATCAAAATTACATAACGATATCGAAATCCGGTTCGTAAACTGTCATTCAGATATCGGTCGATTGCAGGATTTGAAAAGCATGTGTACCGTCAACAGATATTTTCCAAATCTCTTCATGATTTTGCTCACATGATTTGATGCTATTGCAAGGCAAGAACTGTTTATTACAACATAGATTTCGGTTATTGATAAGATCATCATGCCTGACTGCAGCCATTTTGTTTGAAGCAAATGCAAGTGATATGAGAGGTGGAATCTGATTGGTAAATAGGAGGGACATAGAAGGGACATAACTCGTAATAGCCACTGGTGGTTCTATGATCAACCCCAGAAATTCCAGCCAAGTTTGGCAAGGGTGGAAACTGGACTTTTACAGTCAGTTAACTCCCTTCCCTTTGGAAACTGGACTTTTACAGTCAGTTAACTCCCTTCCCTTTGGAAACTGGACTTTTACAGTCAGTTAACTCCCTTGCCTTGGGAAACTGGACTTTTACAGTCAGTTAACTCCCTTGCCTTGGGAAACTGGACTTTTACAGTCAGTTAACTCCTTGCCTCGGGAAGATGGACTTTAACAGTCAGTTAACTCCCTTGCCTCGGGAAGATGGACTTTAACAGTCAGTTAACTCCCTTGCCTCGGGAAGATGGACTTTTACAGTCAGTTAACTCCCTTGCCTCGGGAAGATGATGAAAATGGGTAGAAACAGGTTGTCTGATCTTTGTTGGGGAAAAATTCAGTTGCTAAGGTTACTTGTTATCACATCACAAATGTTGACATGACATCAGAACATTGGTCAATGAATATTTATTGGTGTTTAAAAAATGAAATGAGATTTGTGATTTTAATGCACAAGGGTGATGTGATCACTTGCATGAATGCTGTATGCCAAGATTTTCAAGTCACATGCAATTTTTTTTACATTTGATATCGCAAACTCACAAAAGAAGTATTGCATTTGACTTGAAATAGTCTTCATTTGTTCCGTTGTGACTATCAAAGTGTGAATTAGTTCCAGTGGTTGATGGATTGATAATGTTTGAAAATCACTATAATATCATGCATGCAGTTTGTCATGACATGTAGTTTGTCATGACATGTATTATCCTGCACACATTTTCTAATGGTGTATAACATCCCCCGGACCTTTTCAACAGGAGGAATTAATTCACTGGAACACCCACCACTACTAACACAGCATATATCCTTTTTCTTTTGCTTTGTTGTCTATAGTTCTCCGAACTTGAATCTAGTGAGAAAAAGAAATCCAGAAGAAGTCTTGGTATTCGCAGCTCTAAGAAAAAAGATAGAAAAATCGGTAGTCCAACCATTTTAATGGACCCCGTAAGTTATTTACAGTGGTATTTCTGGTGTAATAAGTGTGCTATTGGCAATGGTTTTAATGTTGTGTTTATTTTCTTTTGCTTAATTATATGATAATTGTCATGACCAAATCTGTGACAAAAAGAAAAACAAAATGGGTAAGATGTTTTATGAAAGTAAAATTATAAAATTGATTTTGAAATTTGTTTACTCTATCCTATTTTCTTTCAGGTATTTTCATTAGGTATCTTTGATTTGAAGTTTTTTATTTCAGTGAAATTGTGGTTTTAAATATCTATTTTATCAGTTATATCATTTTTAAAAACATTTCATAAATGCATACTACAGTATCTCTATTCAACCTTTATCATATCTCTATACATGATGATATCCAGTTACTATCAATGCTATTATATGTACAGCATTCACCTGTATCACAGTGCTTTTTAATATCATGCAAATATTAAGTGCTTCTGTATATTATATCAAGCCTGTATCTATAAATTATATTAAATCTGTAAGATTTAACATCGTTAAAATAAAAGTTGAGAATAGTACAAGATTGTTAAATATGTCTTTGTATCATTTACAGAACACCCCAACTTTGTTAAATGTTCCACCAGAACGCCTGCACTCAAGTGCATCCAATCCCAACCTGCTGAACCATTTCGGGCCCCGCCCACTGAGCCTCCCCGATAACATCCTGTCTGCATCCCACGAGGAACGGATACAGGAGATCAAACTGAGAGAGAACTTTATCACAAAAGCAGAGCAAGGTGGGGCCTACTGAAGTTCGTTTTTAGAAATTTTTGGGAAGGAATACGAAAGGTTTAATTTTTAAAGGAACATTTAATTGAAAATATGAGGCTGGCATGCCAATCAAACAGATAAAGGCATGGACAGTCTTGAGACCTTCAGCCGGTGGTTATAATTTTCACAAGGCTATACAGTATTCCCTGTAGCACTAACTCATTATTGCCAGCAGTAATGCATGGGTCACAAAATTTACTTACCCGGTACATTTTTTATAAACTCAATTTTACACTGATATAATGTTTTTTCCCCATCTCAAAAAACATTGTCAGCTGATATCAGTTGATACCTGTACCTGACTGGCTTGAAGCAGTAAGTGGCAAGTAATCCCTCCTGAAATATTGTGGAGTCAAGTCACCTTTAAAATACCAGGAGTTTAGCAACAGAAGAGATAAGGAAAGGTGAAACTGGTGCTATATGTTAATCAGGAATTTTTAATATTTTAAATATATTTCCCTGGCAACAATTTCGATTTCGATTCAAATGAGGTTTGGGTTCATTTCTAGAGCATAACTCTTATATTGTTCGCTATTTCTTGATGAAACTTTGCATGCATGCCACATGTCATACATCATACAACCATGGGGGAATTCTGTGTTACGAAAGGTTCACAGAAACCTGTGCTTGTTCTGAGAGTTGACTAAGTTAATCAGATGGTCAGGCTTGGTGACTTAGTTGATTGTATGGCATTGTACACTGATGGTGGCGTTAATTGACAAATAGCTAACAAGCATCATTCATTATTCAGGAATTATTTAATTTTGATGTTATTTTATTTTAGAATAATAATTAAGGCTATCTTATCTGTAACATTGCTTTCAAGTGAAAATACTTGTCTATTGAAAAGTACTATCACTAATTCATGTCAAAGGAAGGTTTTGAAAGCATTTAGAGTCAGTGATAGAGTATGGTTTTGCGTCATGTTTGGCAGTTGTCCCGCAATTTCATGGTGGGGGACACCAGAAATGGGCTTCATACATTTTACCCATGTCGGGAAATGAACCCGGGCCTTCGGCAACACTTTGGCCACTAGGCTACCCAAAGGCTACTATATATATTGTGATTTATGACCATATTTAACAGGGCGGGGAATATCAATGACTTTGTCTTCTCGTGTAGTTTTCTGTGAGTGATCTCCCTTTGTAGCTTGTGACCTTGACCTATGACTCAAAATGGACTGTTTTCTCCTTCAGTGCACAAACAGCTGAAATGTCTACTCCACATGATGAGCACCGAGAGGGAGAGGCTGAAGCAAACTGTGGAGAAGGATTCAAGTTCCGCCACCCAGTCCTCCAACACCATCACCACTCTCAAACAGTCACTGGCAGAGGTACCACTTGTACTACCACTGCTCACTTGTCATACCTTGAAGCTAACTTGTATAGAGCAGCATCTCACCCAAGCTCAACACTGAGCAAGTGACTGAATATGACAGTACACGGCACCAGCAATGTTTCTGATACCTGTGCAGAGAGCATCTACATAGTTACAAACAAATTTATTATGAATAGAGTCCTGATATCCAGATAACTTATGTTAATATTTTAGGAAAGTTTCAAACATCAATGAATCAGACAATACTTCATGAGATAAATAATTAGGTCATTTCTTGGCCCACTGAAATGTCAAATGTTTTAGTTTGCTCAAAGTTGTTGCTGTCATTGGACATGTCTACAGTGCCGTAGCCAGCTTGGGGGGGGGGGGGGGGCATTTTTCCTTGTGAAAGTTAACTTGAATAAGAAAATAATCTTATTTGACCCCCTGTCAAAAAAAGTTAACTACGGCCTTGGGACTCTATGTGATTGACAACTCTGCGTTTTTCTTTCTCATACTTTGAATACCAGTTTTGCATTTTTTGCATCACATTTTTTTCTTTATTTCTTCAATTATGGTTATTATCTTGTCCAACCTGGTCCTTTGTAGTGTTCTATCACATATCTGCAAAAGGGTGTTCGAATACCAAGTTTCAGTGTCTCCTGACGTTGTGATTGTAAATTCTGCTTGTTTGTGGAAATTTTGTACTTTCCTCAAAAGTAGTGTGTCATATCTGCATTATATGTTCATTCAATGGGCTTTAGTGAGTAATCTCCCCTATTAATGTATGACCTTGGCCCTGACAGGCTCACCGCCAAAATGCTGAGTTACGAGGAAAGCTTCTTCGTATACACAACGAAGCGAGTCTGACCGATCTCCCACAAACCACAACATCGCCGCTTTCCTCCCCACACCTCGACCGGGTAATAGCCAACTTCTGTTCTGTCTTAGATGACCTTCACCTTCATGTTTGTCTTCTCACTGTTCTTTACGTGAAATGTGATTGATTGTCAAACTAATCTTAGCTATCCATGTATATTATGTTTATAATGGGTAGATGTTCATTACAGTATTGGGACATGGGTGGCCCAGGCGTCTGATGCACCATAATTCACTGTGTTGAGTTGCGACCCCTGTGATCCTAGGTTCATCTCCTGCTTCACTCTGATTATGTTTCCCTGGTGTTCCCTGCAGTGCTTTTGCTGGAATATTGCTAAAAGCCGCATAAAACAATACTCACTCACTAAATGATTACGTTCCTACGTTTGTCAGAACCATGCCTTCCGTCTCCATGGTTTTGTGGTAGAGCTTTAGCCCAGAGAGCAGAAGGTCGGGGGTTCGATCCCAATCTGCGTCATACCAAAAGATGTTAAAAGATGGTACTTGTTGTTACCCTGTCTGGCGCTCGACATCAAGGGGCTAAAACAAGTACTGGTCGGCTCGGAGTCAGTGTACTGTGTCTGAATGGGGTGTTCATGTTAAACTACAGCATGGTATCTCTGTGGTCTAGCACTATAAATGGGCATTAGTCCTGACTAGTACAAGCAGCCACAACCACACACACATACATGCATGTCGCTATATAAGTGCAATAATATTGAACGCGACAGGAAACCCCATTTCACCTCACCCCACCAGAACCATGGTCATACCCATGAATTTCATGATAGTGTGAATGTCTGAGACCTGCATCACCTCGGACTGTCCTCCAACATCAAGCTGACACGCCTTGATATAACTGAAATACTGTATAAGCCTGCGTTTAACCAAAGTGACTCGTCTCTCAAGTTTACGTCAGCTCTTGAGATAGGTTACTAAAGATACCTCACTGGAGAATTGTTTTGAAGACCCATTCAGTTTTCAGTGCTACCCTTGTGCTTTGTGGGTACATCCTTGCTACAACCTGTACTCCATATTCCAGGAAACGCCCCCGATCCAGCTGGGACAGTCCCTGTCCGTGGACAGTTTCTCCATGTCCGAGTACTATGATGCTGAGGAAATAATTGAGACGCTCAGCGACTCATCATCAGAGGTACATGCTGCAAGCTCAACTGAAGGCTCAACAAGTCACTTTCTATGAACAATAGAAGAATTAAATAATGTGTGATAATGTATAATTAACATTGGACTTCAATATGTTTTGTGTTTATAAGGCATTAACATAAAAACCGATATGCACACTGTGTAAGTTCGTGTAGCTGATTTATGCAAAGTGTGCACAATTCGTGTGAATAATTGTGTCAACAAATTTTGACTGACCAATGGAAGTCAAAATTAGCCAATCAGAAGGCAGCTTTCTCGTGCTTTAAGGCACTATTGTTGACTACGCTTTGAAATATATTTTGACAAATTCTCAATTAAACATTTGAAAACGGAACAAACTAACTTTCTGGAATGGCTAATAAATGGCCTAGATTGTATGGATTCAGTCATAGAAGCCTGTAACTGTCATTCTGAATAAACAATGCTAAATATTTTGAGGTTGCATGATCAGAAATCACATTCTGACTGTCCCTTTCATGATGTGGTAAGAGACGCTCTGATTGGTCAGATGAAGGGTTGTTCTGACGTGACCCATAATGGGATGTCCTCAGATCTCTGTTTAGCGGTAGCGAGAACTAGATCTGATTTTAATGAGATTGCATACCTCAACAACAAGGATTGCTGTTCATGCTATCAACCACTGGTTTGTCTGGCCCCAGCTTGTCTATCTACAGGCAAGGTGCAGTAGCTGTAATACTCTGACTGCAGTGTATAACAGAGTTCACTGATTCCAGTGGATGGTTGAATGATAATCAGAAGTTCTACCAATATGCTAAACGTCAAATGAATGCCTATTGACAATTGTAGGTGGGTAAAAACCAATGATAACACAATAACACATATACATATGTATTGCAGCAATCAGAAGATGAAGAGGTGTCGAGTGAGGTGTCAGAGGAAGGGGAGACAGATGGAACACCTATTACAAGCAGTAAGGAAAATAGTACCTGATGTTTATAGAGAATCTCACCCGAGTGTCTTTTGATATCAAATATATCAACACGAGTTGATAAAAGTGGAAAAACTCAGAGGCTTGCCGAGGACTTTTTCCACTTTTATCAACGAGTGTTGATATATTTGATATCAAAAGACACAAGGGTGAGATTTTATTTATCATCCATCATTCTTCCAATATTTTCAGTTTGTAGACAGTAATAAGCAGTGTCTTAAGTGTAAAAAGTACTGCTAACAGCATCAGTAGCAGAGCCATTAGTGATGTCATTTGATTGTGACGTCATGGTAACCAATTTTGGATGATAGATTTGCACATAGTTGGATCGTCACCCGTTTGCTTTACACTGTCCGATAACTGACTACAGCATTTAACACTTACCCCACCCCACCCATCCCACTAACATTGTGATCTTCATATCTTCCTGTTGACTTCTTATCATTATGATGATGGATACAGTTAAACAAGTATATTAACAATCAGATTTCAGAATTCCATGTATTTTTTCATCTGAAGCAAAGTATGATTGTTGAATTTCTCAGTTTCTTTGATTATTTCTGTTTCTGCAGCTGCAGAGGAGGTGCTTCCATCAATGTTCCCGACCGGCCGCAGATCTAAGCTACCAGTCCCCAAACCAGACACCGGGGACATCAGCCTGTGGAACCTTCTCTACAAGAACATCGGCAAGGACCTCACCAAGATCTCTATGCCCGTAACTCTCAACGAGCCACTCAGTTCACTGCAGGTCAGACACCGACTCAGATGATGATGATGATAATGATTATTATTTTGGAGATTCAATGAGCGCTTCTGATGGGGTTTTGGAGGAGTGAGGGGTGTGAAGTGTTTTTGACTAATTCTTACAAATACAAAACATCTATAACATCATTGCCACAATACCATCATTGCCCATATTTTGGCTGCCATTACACTATGAAATCTGAAGCTTTTCAACAGAAGTCCTCTTCACTGTCAACTATCCATAACCAGTTGAGATACTAATGGTATCTCCCTTTCTAAACCTCTGCACATTCTGAGTTGTCATAGCACGCCAGTAGGGTCCCGGGATGGGTTATTATTAACGTGGTATTGCTTCTGTTTTTGAAGTTGGTGTTTATTAAACTCATGTGTGTTATATGGTGGCTATTTGTATGAAGTAATTACTGAGATTGATCAATCAGCATCTTCTCTCACAAAGTATATGTATTGATGTGTCTACGTGTGACGTGTGTTTATTCCTCTGGTGTGTGTTCCAGCGTCTGTGTGAGGAGCTGGAATACTCTGAACTGCTGGACAAGGTTGTGGAGTATGACGACCCCTACGAACGGATGGTGAGTCCCATGTTCATTGAGTTGATCTTGAAGTGTCCTTTAAATTTTCTGCTATTGTCTTGAATCATATTATTTAAGTATTAAGTACACAACCCTCTGACTTTCGTGCTTATTTGCCAACACTACTGATATTTCTGGTTGGTTGGTTTGTTGTTTTACGCCGCACTCAGCAATATTCCAGCTATATGACGGCAGTCTGTAAATAATCAAGTCTGGACCAGACAATCCAGTGATTGATAACATGAGCATCGATCCACACAATTGGGATTGATGACATGCATCAACCAAGTCAGCATGTCTGACCACCCGATCCCGTTAGCCCCGTCTTACGACAACATGACAGCAGAAGGTTTGTGGGTCAATCGCCTGGCTGCTTGTTGTTACCCTGCCTGGTGCTTGGCATTAAGGGGATACAACAAGGACTGGTTGGCTTGGAGTCAGTGTAAAGTGTCTGAGTGAGTTATTCATGTTAAACTCCAACAAGGTATTTCAGTGGACTGGCACTGTTAAACTGGCATTAGAATTTTCTTCTAAAGATTAAACTGTATGAAGGAAATGGAGAAAAACTACTTTTCAATTATTTGTCCTCAAACCAACCACACAGTTCATTGAATGAATTAAATCCCCAGAACCCATTGCTTGTTGTAAGAGCTGATTGAAATGGAGCTTTTTAGTTACAAGGTGTGTCCCAATTTTGATAAACCAGTGTTTTTTATCTCCATTGTATTATCATTAATTCCAATTTGCTACCATAGCTTCATCTTGGGAATGATGCAACTAGGGATGGGATGGATAACTCGGGTAGTCAGGTCGGGTGAGCCCTGAGTAGGACCCGGGTTCCGACAGGACTACCCAGAACTGTGGTTCATCCTGTCATATATCGTTTAATGAGAAAAATTCACTACTATAACCATGGTTACCTACACATTTACACATTTCTTTCTGAGTATGCAAGCACTCTACCGACTTTTATATGTTTGGAGTAAAGATACAGCCTCAATGTATGCCTGATCGACGTAATAAGCACCCAGGGCGCTCTCAAAATTAGAAATAGGGGGCTCTTATTAGAATATTATTTTGGTGGAAAAAACAGAGATGAAAGATACATTTCTTGGTTAATGCTGACAGCCTGAAATGTTTATAAACGACATATATATTTTTTCAGAATTTAATTGCCCAAAATTCAGGATGCGTATTATACGCGAATAAATAAATTTTTTGTACATTCATCAGTCGGAAGGGGTGCTGATTATATTAAGAAATATCGCTATGGGCGCTTATTAGAGCGGGGCGCTTATTACGTCAAATACGGTAATAGGGGTTTGTGGCACCCGGTAGTAAATTTGGACTCGACCCAGCCCTAGATGCCATCACTTCCATCTTGATCAGTAACATCCCACAGAAGTTGCTCATGACTTTGAAGTGGTTGTCATATCAATCAGACAAAAAACGAAGCTATGGTAGAGAATGCACACAGGGTCACAGAATGAATGTTGTTCAACGAAAGTCTACGTTAAAGGCTGTCTAAACAAAAGGCCACCGATGTGAATCTGTAGGGTTGACAATTTCATATGTGACCCGTCAAGATCTGTGTTTGAATAGGTCTTCAGCAACCCATGCTTGCCGTAAAAGGAGACTATGCTTGTCGTAAGAGGCGACTGACGGGATCAGGTGGTCGGTTAATGCATGACATCATATCCCAAATGAGTTGATCGATGCTCATGATGTCACTCACTGGATTGTCTGGTCCAGACTCGATTATTTACAGACTGCCTCATATAGCTGGAATATTGATGAGTGCGACGCTAAGCAGCAAACAAACAAAACATTTCATACATTTTTCTTCGCTTTCTCTCTTAAAATGTCAATGAGTATATATAGAATAACCTACTATAACGATAACGATTATCTGTCCCAAATGAATGAATGCTGTTCAAAGATTCAGGACACCATTCATTCACTCGATACAGATAATCTGTAGTTCCTCATAGCTCGTTGGTTATTCTCTAATTATAGTGTCGAGACACTGGATAGTCAAGGACATGTCCGGGATCATTTTACTTATCAAAAAGCTCCATATACCACCTATCTGTCACAATGTCTCCATTACCTCTCGGTGTTGACGTTCCTATTCCCGTTATTTCAGATCTATGTGGCAGCGTTTGCTGTGTCCTGCTACGCCAGCTCGTACTACCGTGCGGGTCACAAGCCCTTCAACCCCCTGCTTGGGGAGACCTACGAGTGCATCAGAGAGGACCGGGGATGGAGGTTTATAGCTGAACAGGTGAGCTGTCCATCACACTGCGGATTCAGGGGCAGGTCTAGGGGTAAAATTGGAGGGATGCAAACTACAGCGGAATTTGACAAAATCTGGCTCATATTTTTATCATGTTTACAATTTGGGTTAATGGAATACAAGGCTTCCACAGTGAATGCAGCAATGTCACCCTGAGGGTAACGAGGGTGTCACGCGCTGGGAAGGAGCTTGGTACCGAGAGCGTAATGAAGGGGTCACAAGCTGGGAAGGAGCTTGGTACCCAGAGTGTAACGAAGGTGTCACAAGCTGGGAAGGAGCTTGGTACCGAGAGTGTAACGAAGGTGTCACACGCTGGGAAGGAGCTTGGTACCCAGAGTGTAACAAAGGGGTCACAAGGTGGGAAGGAGCTTGGTACCCAGAGTGTAACGAAGGTGTCACACGCTGGGAAGGAGCTTGGTACCCAGAGTGTAACAAAGGGGTCACACGCTGGGAAGGAGCTTGGTACCGAGAGTGTAACGAAGGTGTCACACGCTGGGAAGGAGCTTGGTACCCAGAGTGTAACAAAGGGGTCACACGCTGGGAAGGAGCTTGGTACCGAGAGTGTAACGAAGGTGTCACACGCTGGGAAGGAGCTTGGTACCGAGAGTGTAACGAAGGTGTCACAAGCTGGGAAGGAGCTTGGTACCCAGAGTGTAACAAAGGGGTCACAAGCTGGGAAGGAGCTTGGTACCGAGAGTGTAACGAAGGGGTCACACGCTGGGAAGGAGCTTGGTACCGAGAGTGTAACGAAGGTGTCACACGCTGGGAAGGAGCTTGGTACCGAGAGTGTAACAAAGGGGTCACACGCTGGGAAGGAGCTTGGTACCGAGAGTGTAACGAAGGGGTCACACGCTGGGAAGGAGCTTGGTACCGAGAGTGTAACAAAGGGGTCACAAGCTGGGAAGGAGCTTGGTACCGAAAGTGTAACGAAGGTGTCACAAGCTGGGAAGGAGCTTGGTACCGAGAGTGTAACGAAGGTGTCACACGCTGGGAAGGAGCTTGGTACCCAGAGTGTAACAAAGGGGTCACAAGCTGGGAAGGAGCTTGGTACCGAGAGTGTAACGAAGGTGTCACACGCTGGGAAGGAGCTTGGTACCCAGAGTGTAACAAAGGGGTCACAAGCTGGGAAGGAGCTTGGTACCGAGAGTGTAACGAAGGTGTCACACGCTGGGAAGGAGCTTGGTACCCAGATGGGAAACAAAGGGGTCACACGCTGGGAAGGAGCTTGGTACCGAGAGTGTAACGAAGGTGTCACACGCTGGGAAGGAGCTTGGTACCGAGAGTGTAACGAAGGTGTCACAAGCTGGGAAGGAGCTTGGTACCGAGAGTGTAACGAAGGTGTCACACGCTGGGAAGGAGCTTGGTACCCAGAGTGTAACAAAGGGGTCACAAGCTGGGAAGGAGCTTGGTACCGAGAGTGTAACGAAGGTGTCACACGCTGGGAAGGAGCTTGGTACCGAGAGTGTAACGAAGGGGTCACACGCTGGGAAGGAGCTTGGTACCCAGAGTGTAACGAAGGTGTCACACGCTGGGAAGGAGCTTGGTACCGAGAGTGTAATGAAGGTGTCACAAACTGGGAAGGAGCTTGGTACCGAGAGTGTAACGAAGGTGTCATACGCTTGGAAAGAGCTTGGGTGTTATCAATGCAAGGGACACAACTCTGCTACAATCTCCCGAAACTGACTTGTGTCTGAACATGTTAACCTGATGTAACTTTCAGCCATACACAGTCTGGTTTGGACAGAATCCACTACACTCAAGTCATGAATGGACAAAACACATTATAGGTGTACAGAAACAGGTTAACACATAAGGTGTCTGACAAAAAGGGTGTGTCAACTCCCTGCAGCCTTCTGCTGGGTGCCTGATATTGATGGTAAATGTAACAGATGACTTTGACTTTGATACTAAGACATGTTGAAGCTCTGTGCTGTACGCTTTTGTTGTCGTCTACAGGTGAGCCACCACCCTCCTATATCGGCCTGCTACTGTGACTCCCGGAACTTCACCTTCTGGCAAGGTAGGTTGTGTGTTTCTTCACGTAACTGATGACAAAGAATATCCTAATCAGGACAAGCTAATATTTACACCTCAATAAACTTTTGTTTAGATTTTCATCCCCATCTGCATCACTGTCGAGCATCTCGCCTCACATCCTTGTATTCTCCCCACATACATATAGATGTTTCACCCGCTTAAAGAAATTATTGTAATACTGTTAGGCATGACAACGATCAGCTGTTTGCTTTGACAAGTTTGTCACTGGTAAGACTATTCATTCTGCACCTGTTGCTTGCCATTCCAAAAATGTCTCTCTGATGGGAATTGACTTGTCAAGATGTGAATCACATCAGTTATGTCCACATTGACCTTCAACAGTTTGTTTTAGAACATAAAATCTTAAATTCAACATTCCTGAAAACACATATACTTGTCAATAGCATTTTCCACCACACAGCCATGGTGGCAGAACAGTAATGTCAGTGGCTTGACCATCAGAATGTTCAAGTTTGTATCCCAGGCAGGAAAGATTACTGATTCTTTGAATTTTAATTCATGTTTGGAATCATTTACATAATTAATCTTTAGATGGCAACAAGAGCAAAAACATGTGTATTGTACACATACTTATCAGCAAAATGGTGGACGTGATGATGGTGTTGATGATAATGAGGATATGATGATGATGATGATGATGATTGTTTCAGATGTCCGGATCAAGACCAAATTCTGGGGCAAGTCCATGGAGATCCAACCCATCGGATATGTCAATGTCTATCTTCCAAAGTATGTGGAGAAAGATATAAACTTGTCTTTTATAGCTTCTTTACTTGCTTTTCTACATTGACAAGAACTTCTACTCAAGAAAGTGCAAACCGGGGTCTCGATTAAACACTGGGCAGCTTTTGTGCATGGAATTCTCCCCATTATTGTCTTTGCTATTAAACACCAGGGGTAAAGAGTGTCTAGAAGAAATATATGCCCAGCGTTTAATCATCTTAATAGTGGTTATAATTAAGGTAATATAAGATTATATGCCTAAGCACACTGTAGTTTTATGAGATCACCCTCTTCACAGCCGACCTTGACCCTGTTGCAGGTACGGAGACCACTACAAGTGGAACAAGGTGACCACGTGTGTCCACAACCTGCTGGGTGGTCAGCGCTGGGTGGACCAGTATGGAGAGATGACCATCACGAATGGAGGCATCACCTGTAAACTCACCTTCACCAAGGTATGTGTTGAATCATCACCTGTAAACTCACCTTCAAGAATATCGGTGTGGGAATCATGACTTGTAAACTCACCTTCACCAAGGTAGGTGTGGGAATCATCACCTGTAAACTCACCTTCACCAAGATAGGTGTGGGAATCATCACCTGTAAACTCACCTTCACCAAGGTAGGTGTGAAAATCATCACTTGTAAACTCACCTCACCAAGGTAGGTGTGGAAATCATCACTTGTAAACTCACCTTCACCAAGGTAGATGTGGGAATCATCACCTGTTAATGCACCTTCAAGAATATCAATATGGGAATCATGACTTGTAAACTCACCTTCACCAAGGTAGGTGTGGAAATCATCACCTGTAAACTCACCTTCACCAAGGTAGGTGTGGAAATCATCACCTGTAAACTCACCTTCACCAAGGTAGGTGTGGAAATCATCACCTGTAAACTCACCTTCACCAAGGTAGGTGTGAAAATCATCACTTGTAAACTCACCTCACCAAGGTAGGTGTGGAAATCATCACTTGTAAACTCACCTTCAAGAGTGTAGGTTCTTGAATCATCACCTGAACCCACTTGCACAAAGCAACCTTAGTTGCAATCGATCTTGGAGGTTTTCAATTTACTTTACAATTACCACTCCCAAGTCTTATTCCACTCACGCAAACTACCAAAATAACAACATCACAAAGTAGCCCCATCTATTCATGGGTAATAGAGGAACATAGAGTACACTTTGAGTACTGACTATGGCTTTAGTGGTGAACACTTTGCATCACTAACTAACACTTTTTGTGAAACATATTCACAATAATTACAGTACAAAAATGTTGATTCATGAATACACCATCTTCATGAGGCAAGGGAGTTAACTCACTATAAATGTCAAGTTTCCACCCTTGCTGAACTAGGAGTTATAGTTTGGCTGGACTAACGAATCTACAAACAGTCAAATCAATATCGCGGAATGAAATCAACATTTCGGTTAATAAACAACATGGCAACTGCCGTGTTGATTGTGAGATTTCCAGAGCATGTGTTCCATCAAATGGGAGTCGACATATGTTTTCCAAATCTTTTCATGTTTTTAATCAAGGTGATCAAGTGATTTGATGCACTTCGTGAAGTAAGACTAATTATTGAACAGATTTTCTTGCCTCGCCGCTGCCATTTTGTTGGAATCAAAACCCGCAATCGCCACTGGTTGTGCTAGAGTGGAATGCAGCTGGGACCTGCATCACATCATTAAACCTCACTCACTCACTCTGTCACTCACTCACTCACTCACTCACTCTGTCACTCACTCACTCACTCACTCACTCACTCACTCTTCTGTTCCAGGCCAGCCACTGGTCATCCAACAAGTACGAGGTGTATGGAAGTATTCTCAACCCTGACGGGAATGTAGTGCATAATCTGTTTGGCAAGTGGAATGAGGCTTTCTTCTGTGGCCATGCATCGTCAGCCAGGTGTATATGGAGGCCAGGTAAGCCATCTGCATCAGGTCATTCTTCTACATATGGAGTCTGGAAGACAATATTCCTTACTATCCCATCGGAATGACTAACATGAAAATCATGCCAATACAATGTATGGCCTGTTTCACATGCTGTCAAACACTGGTTTGCCTCCAACAGACTAGATTATTACTCCTAACTGAGAGATTGTTGTGATAGTGTTGACTGTGACGTAGAAATGGTACAATTAAGTGATACCCTCAAACAAACAAAATAATTCAGTTATCAGTAACATATGAATGTACCAATGTGTATACTCCCCAGGGAGCTGATATTGTAACATTAATGTACACTGGTCCATTGACAGGGTATTAATTGTACACCATTTCAGGAATTTTTGTTTGGAATTGGAGCAGTATACATGCAAAAGAGTTATGTTATTGTAGTAATCGTTGTTATTGTTATCATTATATCCTGTTCCAGGCGCCATGCCGGAGGATTACGAGCTTTACTACGGCTTTTCAAGGTTTGCCACAGAACTGAATGAGCTTGATGAAGAGCAGGCACGCTTCCTGCCTCCCACAGACAGCAGGTTCCGCCGAGATCAGCGGTAGGTGCCCTGCAGTCACTAGCTCCTTCCCTGCGTGACACTTTCTTTACCCTCCCGTGTCATTGCTGCCATACAGTGTCCAAGCGGCCATTACAAGAATCTTCAAAATTTACCCTCAAACCTCAAATGTAGTGAGATTTGTGAATTCCATTAAAGTGAATTGAGGAAATGTATAAATAATACTTTAAATGTTTCACATATGAATTTACATTTGTGTTTAATCATTTTTCTAAGAGTGCAGACTTATGGAAATTAAAGCACCCAACTTCCTCCTCACATTCTAACTACACTAATTACTTGATCATTGAAATGAAATAGAAATTCAAATTGACAAACAAACAAAACAATTTAGGTTAGGGAAGAGAATTCAGCCGTCGACCGTAGTTATGTGTCGGTGAACATAATGGTCAGAAGATTGTGAGTTCAATTCCAAGCTTTGTTGTGGGTCGACTAGCACTGTGGGGAGCGTTGACTGGTGGCAGCTATCGCTGTGAGGAGCTTGTTCTAGACAAGGACAAGGGAGACAACTCTCCCTTACCAGTTATTTCTTGGGTACAAAACAAGTAATGAACTATTTTTTAGGACACCAAGTCATCGTTGATAACCTTGGTCTCTGGTTGAAGATGAAATATGGCCACACTATAGAACTGGCTTACAAAGGACTCTCAGATAATAAAGCTGTTAAGTGTAACTGATAGTTTGTGTCAGCAGAGACCATTTTATAGTCTCTGGTGTCAGTGAGGTGTAACATGATGATAAAATAGACAGACACAGGTTCTTCATATACACTTGTATTCAATATCCATCTGCCAACACAATACACCTCATGCACTTACACAGGTTGTCACTCAACTGCCTGCCTAGAGCAAACCAAGATGGCCGCCGTAAAGTCATTCTCAAATCATAGACGGCAGTTTCGTATTCAAGGGGAAGTTTCGTATCCACACATTTACATACTCCCCTTTTTCTAAATTGACAACACATCTGTACAAGTATAAAAGGAACTGTACAGCCAAACTTGAAATATGAAATATTATCTTTTGTTTTATATGATTGAAATAAAATATTTAGTTTTTATAACATATAAATTAAAAACTGAACTGATAAAAAAAGGTTCATATGACAACACTACTTCAGTCCATGAACTACTTTTCACCCACAGACTGCTGGAAGAAGGGAAGGTGCAGGAGGCGGAGGCTGAGAAGCATCGACTGGAGCAGAGTCAGCGGGAACGCCGCAAGAAGGAGGCGGATGTCACGTGCCAGTGGTTCAGGTGAGAGCTCGAGGTCCTCCTACCAATGTGCACACAGCAATTACACGAAAATCATGCATGTTGAGACGCCCAACGCTAACACCGTATTCGTGCGTGCGTGATTCGAGTTGAGTTGATTGGTTCAACTGTGTCACATGGCCCTGTGACGCAGGGGTAGCATTATGCAGATGGCTGTTACAATGAATGCTTGTTCCGCCCGTGACATAGCCTAGTGGTTAAAGCGTTCGCTCGTCACGCCGAAGACCTGGGTTCGATTCCCGACATGGGTACAATGTGTGAAGCCCATTTCTGGTGTCCCCCCGCCGTGATATTGCTGGAATATTGCTAAAAGCAGCGGCGTAAAACCAAACTCACTCACTCACTCACTCACTCACTCACTCACTCACTCACTCCACCCGTGACGAACAGGTCTGGTTGTTGATGAAATATAGTGTTAGCTAAATAGACAGATTTTTTATTCATGCACCGATTGTCTTTAAATGTAATATCCAGTTATGTATGACTGTTTAATATTCTCATACCAACTTTGACTGGAGTAGGTCCAATAGTTTTTCAGATATTGTAGTAAACGTCGGTACCTTGAATTACCTTCCAGACTATACCAATGTGGACACGGCCATTACAAGAATCTTAACAATTTTACCCCACACAAAATGTAGTCACATGTATATTTTTGTCTGTATCTGTGGGATTATCTGTGTCATTATAGTGTAATGTGAAGAGGATTGCAACTGCCTTACTATTTCCTTGATGAATTTATACTTGTTTGTTTTATCTGATTTGTTCAAGATTGCAATAAGTATTTTGTAGCTCAGCCATAAGAAAAATACACAAGCTTTCTGTTCCATTTGCCTCTATTAAAAAACTAGACTGAAGCCAGTTTACTCTGTGCAGTGCTTGCGTTGTCGGCTTCACTGTGCGGAGCTCTATTGTTTTAGTTTGAGAATTGAATTTGGCATGTGAAATTATTTCATGCATGATTTAAAAAGCACATCAAGCGGACACAACATATAACAGAAATACTTTTCAAAGCAGCATTAAACCCAACTCATTCATTTCACACATGTGAAGATCCGGGTAAGAATAGGTAATATCCCAATTGCGTGGATCGATGCCCATGATTGTTTGGTCCAAACTTAATTATTTACAGACTGCCGTCATATATAGCTGGAATATTGCTTGCGGTTGTAAACAAGAAAAAAACAACAACCAAAAAACGCTCATTTCACAAGATTGTTCGGAAAGGTGAACAAAAACATGAAGATTATACTGTTGATTCACAGACATCTGAAAATAAATAATATGTACGACATATTCAACACCAGAAAAAACAGGACTCACTTAAAATGCCACACTCAACTTCCTTCTATCTGTATTCAGCTTCTGAATATATGTACATCATTAAACTTCAAAAGGAGAGGACATTTTGACAGTATCTTTATAATAGTGGATGCATTGAACACTGTTTACAATGATACTGAGCTTTTTGGTGCAGGACGTTTGGGGCCGACTAATTGATGTTCTAGTGGCGCTGGAATGTTTTTGTTACAATAATCCTTGGTTTTACAAAAAACAACATTTGTCATGTTAGACATTCTGAAAAAAATGAAAAAATGAAATATTAAATGGTTTGTCCTTTAGTATGTCAAATATGGTAATTTGTTTGTTTTGGTCAAAACTTCCATTCATATAACTTCCACAACAGACTTACAATTTACAACTTCTGTCAAACTAGAATGCCCACCACTTTTGCATTTCAAATTGTATAATGTTTCGAACAAGAAAACAATAGATATTTTAGTTTTGTTCATATTCGTAACACACCATTTTTTGTTGACAGCAAAAAGGATGAGAACGGAAAGGAATCCTTCGAATTCAACGGAAAATACTGGAACATGCGAAAGGACCCAGGATTTGCCAAAATGTCTTTCATGAAATTATGGTGAAGAGAACAGGACCCACACGAGAGTAGAGTTTGCCTACATCAAAGTGCCAATGCTATCGGTGCACCCATTAAGAGAATAATCCAAAAATGTGACGTGATCGATACATGATTGCGTGCAACATCCTACAGAATATTTCTGATGTAATTCCTTCCAGAATCTGCCAAAACCTGGCTAAACTGTGTGAAGTGTGTGGAGTGAATGAGAATATGGAGTAATCTTGTCAAATGTACTGGTGTTGTAATCTGAACACTTTTAATGGAAAATCGTACAGGAAGCTACGGAGTATGCCATGGGAGAATTGCTGAGGCTATTGGAGATAAGATGGGTGAAATGTCACTTGTCACTGGTTATAGGATATGGTTCCAAGTTTATTTTCTCCGTGAACCGAAACACTGTAAAATTAGAATTAAATTCGCAATTTTGGACCACTTGGACAGGGCCTCATTACACAAAGCGATCTTGAGAGCGACGACTATCGTAATCCTATCGGAAGCCTATCGGAAGTGCGGGAGTTACGATCACCTTAACGCTAAGATAGTTTTATGCAGTGGGTCAGTGGCATATTGTTGTACTACACTTATTTTTTGTTTTTGTAAAGCATTGGATTTGTGGTAGTTGTGCAAAAACAAATTTGCAAGGGTCCCTCTTTTATTAAAGTTTAAACCATTATCTTGTCAAAGTACCTCTGACATTGTCTGCATAGTGTTTACTTTTTCCCATTTTGCGATGGTTATAACCCTGAGTAGCAAAAAAGGAAGTCATGTTCCTTGATTTCATAAAGACAATTCTCCCTGTGTTGATGTGATACATGCTTCTAACCAACATTTTAAAATCTATGTCTTATTGTAAATACTGTTGTTGTGTAAATATGCTTTTATTGTAAATATCGTGAGATAATTGTGTCGACGTTACCCGCTTTCTATGCAGTTATAGTGAGCTTTTACTTTAAGTGTCAAATTTTTAAGATTTACATTTTGTCCACATTGTGGGTTAGTGGATTTACTATGAACTTCAACTATTTAGATATTGTATCAACTTTATTTGTATCTTACAATTGGAGTGTACTTATGTTTGTAAGGTGGGATTGCTGACATCTTGTTTCAGTTAAGAGATAATGCATGTGAGATTTCTCAATATGGATTGTGTTCAAGGAAAATCTTTTAAGCACTGAACATTGAGTCTTTACAGTAAAGAAATCAGCCATTTATACAAGTTTGCTCCTTTAAAGCCTGACTCCCTGTTATAATATGAACTGCATGCATATTGCATGCATATGTTATCATATAACATGTATTTACTTGGTAAGACTATAATATATATATTATTGATAACTTTCCTCAGAAATGACAACACTCTGAAATATCATTTTGAGAAATGTTTTTTCTGGGTCCACTGAATGCTTTTTAATGGAAATAATATCTTGCATATATTCAAATACCCTGATGATTGATAAGAAAGTTGAGTGTTAATTGTCTGGGGAATGTTTGATGAGCTATGATGATCATGGTTCTATTGGTTTTATTGTGTTTTATGGCTTTTTCCTCACGTTACTGCCATTCAGATATTATAATTGTTGTAAGGAGTCAGTTCAAAAGTTTGATGTCGGATAAAAACCTTAATTCCTTAAATTTAGAGGTAGGGGTATTGATGTTATTGGTCTTACAAGTTTTCCACCCAACAAAATAAACTTACCGTATTCAAGTAATAAACGCCCCGCTCTAATAAGCGCCCACGGCGATATTTGCTAATATATTGGCTAGTGAACAATCCCAATTAGCACCCCTTCCAATTGATTAATGTTCAGAAGACTTATTTATTTGCGTATAATACACACTCGTGTGTTACATGCACCCTTAATTATAGGCAAGTAAGTCCTGGAAAAACATGTCTGTCGTATATAAACATTTCAGGCTGTCAGCATAAACCATGAAATTTATCCTTTAACTCTGTTTTTTTCACCAAAATAATATTCTAATAAGAGCCCCCTATTTCTAATTTTGAGAGCGCCCTGGGTGCTTATTACGTCGAATACAGTATCTGCTTTCACCTCTATATAGTACCTAAACTAAAATGATCCTAACACATTCATGGAGTTAGAGTTTCAATGAGAAAGGGTTTTAATCCTTGCCGACAATAGTGGTAAGTCCATCTAGAACAGTGTGTATTATAGAATGGCAGATTTGATCTATAAAAACCCTGCAAATTATTTTCAACACCAAGTAATTACACTTCAGTCGAAGACCAATGTGAAAATGCAAGGGAAGACACAAGAATGTTGGACATAAAACGCCACTAAACTCAGGATTCATTATTTTAGGAATTAGTTTTTTTTGGTTTATGTCTCAAAACATAACAAATTAAGTTTCTTATCCCACATCAAACTTTTGAACTGGTCCCTAATGTAACTTTAATATGATCAAAATGTTCCTACATTTTATTAATTGAGTCTCGTACTTTTTGTCCTTGGCCTGTGAGCACTATCAACTTGTGCTTGTGAGTTTTACCACATTGTATACATCTTTAACCTGCAGCACCATTCCTCCTGCATCAGCTGGTAGAGAAAAGAATCAGGATTCTGTTGCCAATGGCAACCCTATTGAATATGGTGACAAGGAGATGTCAGTAAAACCCAGAATATAGCTTCCAGTACAACTTGACGATCATACGATGTATTTATGATGATTATTAATTAGCTTATCATGTTCATGCATTGTGGAGTTTTTTACACAATTAATGTCAATGTAAAACCCATTGATGAAGCATTTAGTGGCAAGATATGATGCGTAGAAGTTTGCATGGGTAATACATCAAGAAGGCATTAACTAAAGTTCATGGTACTAGTCATCTGAAATAGATTTGCTAAGTATGAGGGCTGGGACGGGTACTCGGGTTGGATGGGTACTGAGTAGGACCCGGGTACCCACAGGACTACCCACACCCGCTGTATCACGTGATATATTGTTTTATAAAACATGATCTGGAACTCTATGGTTACACTACAAGTCACTAATGTGTCCTTTTCTTTATGACTATGCACCCATGTTGTTTGTTTGAAAAAAGATAAAACATCAGTCAACTTCAGTGATGCCTGTCATATACATGTATCTGAATACATTTTACCACGATTACGGTCAAACTTTTCCCAATCAGACATTTTGTACCCATCTCTTGAGACCTACAGCGGGTACCCGGGTAGGGTATGGTTATAGGGAGTAGGGTACTGGTTAGTACATTTCGATTGTCCAAGCCCTACTCTGTATGCGTGTTAATATCAATACATATATCACAAACATTAATATTCATAGGGTATGGTATGACAATGTAAAAATAGCGTCCATTTTTTATTTTCATTCATTCAGGTGAGAGACATCGATAATAAATAGGTTGTGCCAGTTCATATTCATCAACCGGTTTGAGTTTCAAATATTTTAATTTCTATATATATGTCTTCATTGAATGTCAGTTTCAGACAGGATTTCTGTTATGCAAGTAGATTTATTTCAACCTGCTAATGTCCAAAGCAATTGATGTATTCAGAGCTTGTAGAGTTGTAGATTTAGAAAGAGAGTGAATGAAGGCTTGAAAATCCTGCCAGGAAATGTAGATGTTTTACTGGTTTTATTGTGAAAACGAACATGTGCATTTGATTATTGTTGGAATAGGATGAATGTTCAGATTGCATGGAGAGTTATAAGAACCTCATGTAACTATCAGCTGGTTCTTTGATTTGGATTGCCAAATATAAGAGACACAGGAATATTTAATGTTTGTTTTGTTGCCATTGTGCAAGTAAACCTGTCAATCATCATTTTAACCTTTCACTGCCTCCTGGTGTTTGATAACCATTCACATTCTTAGCTGTATACATGTTTGGGGCCTAGTGTCGAAAATGAGTTTGGTTGAATATGCATTATGTAAATAGTTATGTAAATATGGATTGGTTCTCCCGTGATGAATATTGGCATATTCACAAATATTCGGTCAGATATTGATGTGGTGGATTTTTTATTATGATTATTATCTTATAATATAGACAGAATTATTATTGTCTCATTGGTAAAAAGCCCATACCATATTCACAGACTACATTATCAGGTTGGTTCGCTTAGGTTCAAACCCAGTGCCAGCTTACTATGGATTTAATATAACATAGAATCTCTAATACCAGCCTCACTCCATGCTTTTGGCTCATATCAACCTCACATGCTGTGTTGGAAGGTGGCGTGACCTTGTGGTTAAACCGTTCGCTGTCATGCTGAAGACTTGGGTTCGATTCCCTACATGGGTACAATGTGTGAATCGCAGTGGTTAAAGTGTTCGCTCATCATGCCGAAGACCTGGGTTCGATTCCCATCATTCACCGTGATGTTGCTGGAATATTGCTAAAAGCTGCTTTAAGCCATACTCACTTACTCACATGCTGTGTTATAGCTGAAATAATGTTTAATGTGGCATTAAACCCAACTCACTTACTTATTAGAGCTCTTCATAGAGAAACAGGTGGTGGACATCAATTTAAACATCACATTGGACGCTGGAAATTGAGGATGAGGGATTGACACACACGTACAGTATTCCCATTATGACATGCTACAATATGACTGAATAACTGTTCATACAGTGTAACAACACGTCAACTGTACGACCTTTTGGGTGTGGATGCCAATCGCTCACAAAAACAGGATGTATAAAATATCAACATTGAGCAAATAGTAGGCCTTAATTTTTTGCATTCAGAACTCCCCAATTATGTACAATTTCAAGATACAGAAATCACAACCAAGCTTTCTGAATGTTTCACTCATTGTACAAAATATTTAGAAGCCTTGACAGTGATGGGCTCATTAGAACGTTCAACTGATACAACCTTCTGTCTGAGTATCCTCAGATCTTTACGAGGAGAGGCATCATTTTGGAGTAAACTATCTGATTTTAATGACATTAATGGGAGCCTTATCATAAAACTGAAAATATTGCACCATATGTGAATGTCACTTGTATATGTCAACTCACATGATTTTGAGAGCACTTTAAACCTTTGAATGGGATAGAATCATACAATTTGTACCTCTTGAGGAACCTGAGTTGTATTTCATCTAATTCAACAGCTGGCTCCATCTTTCATGTTTCATTGCTTCTCTAACTTTACCAAAGGAAAGCAGATGCACCTGATAATCAAAGCACACAGAATGTTTAAAGTTTTCTTAATATTATTGTATCAACAAACATGTAATATCAAACGTTCTTACATTTTTTAGAATACTTCTCTGCTTGGTCAAACTGCGGTCTCAAAAACCTATTACTTACCATTGATGAAAACAGCTAAATTGTGTTACATCAAACTGTATTTAATCATTTAGCTAACTGAACTGTCTTTACAAACTTTGAATCAAATTTACACAATTACTGGTTAGTTTTGTTATGTGTTTTATTGAAGAATTTTGAGGTTTATGTATCGAATGTTATGGGTGAGAGGTAATCATTCACCGTGTGATGTTAGCATTATATGACATATGCAGATCAGCCTTAAGTAGACCCAGGCACAGAGCATTATTTCCTTGATAATGAGTACATCTTGGTGTTATCACAGTATTATAGGTGTACTATAGTGTATATACTCATGTCTTGCAGTGTACTGGAAACTGACATACATAATTTGCCCAAATAGGAAAATGGTGTTGGGATGTAGAGACAATCAAGACTCCAGTGAACTTAGAGAAATTATCAACTTTGGGAGATTGTAGTTACCTCCCCTTGGCCTGAGAGTTATCTCCCTTAGTCTGAGCTTGTGTCAATGGGTGTGGTGCTAATGTATCAAGCCAGATCATGCTCAGATTTATTGTTGAATGTGTGAAAGGAAATGTAGGTACTCGGTAGTAATGAAAAATTCATTATATGATGTAAAGATATATTTATAAGATTTAGATTCCTTTTTCAACAAGGGAACTACGGTAAAACTTGGATATAACAAACTCTACGGGACCATGAAAATCAGATCCTTTTCTCCTTAGTTTGTATGCAAAACTGAATGTGCCTGCTATCTTGGTTTGAAATGAGATTTGAAACTGTGAACCGATATGTTTTCAATCTATTTCATTGTGTTCATTCGATAGTGTTAACATTAATTTTGGCGAAATGGTGTGTGAAGTGGTTGGTAGATCTCACCAACTCACCTTTCTTGACGGGAACCATGATCTGAGTACTGCTATATTGACACTTGGAACAAACCTTGGTTGTCTGAGAGTGGACAGGACACCGTTTCTAGTTCACTGAACACTTAAATAATTGCTGTTATATTGACACATTGGAACGAACCTTGCCGTGTGCGAAATACGCTGCAGTCGGAAAGCGCACGTTAAATCTTCTATATCAGTCAGTCAGTCAACGAACCTTGGACGTCTGAGAATGAAGATACGGAACACTGTTTTTAGTTCACTATACACTTAATTAAATAGTGACATTTGAGTCTATAGGGTATTAAAAATGAGGTCGCTATATCAGATTACTTTGCTATGCAGAGTATGTTTTATATATAATTTTCATATTATATATAGAGCAATCGAGACTTTTGGACTAGTTTGTTATATCCATTTGAGCACAA